TTTCATAACATTTTTAATAATAATGATCGTTTTTCTTAAAAAATCCTATTTATGTAAAAGGCATTAGAGTAAATAATTACAACTATTATTCAATGACTTCAAAGCTCACGAACGTTGCAAGATAAATAAACTCCTTAAAGCTCATGGTCTCTTCCATTTAGAAAAATAGATAGGAAGATCATAGATTAAACCAGTATCTTAATTTATCTTGTTTACTTCATATTTTTAACGTTTGGTAATTGTCAACATATTTTATTTTCCATAAGCGTTCGATTTGTTGAATAACCAGTGCTACGAAGTCAATAAATGGAATGCTGAACGTTTTTACAAAGCATGTCTATCTTCGTTCCAGTCAGTAAAACAAACTTATACAGCAAAATGGAGAATAATTTCAAAAGTATTGAGTCAAGACTAGGTATTTGGAACAACGTGATCTCTTATGGTAACAAGATATTCTGTCCGCATGGATCAATCTATATCATGACAATAATTTCAAAATTAAATGCTAAACGATGTGTAAAAATTTATGCTTAAAATTCAGTGATTCAAGCTTTTATCTGGGATTGATTGCAGGTTGGCGAATTATGAAACATATGGCGGATTAACATAGCCAATAATTTGAGCAAGTAATTTCAATTGACAGAGGTCACTTAAATATCACCCTATATAACGTTACAAGAATCGATTAACAGCGTCTCTATGGAACTGATCAAACCCTTTTGGCAAATTTGTCCCAAATTGACAATTTAAATTTGACAATCCACGCTAGATATGCAAAAGTAAAAGTGCTAGTAGCTAAAGGCCACAAATGTTTACATTTACTATTTAATTCTGGCTAGTAATAAAATTGATTTTTCGGAAAATTTTAATAATATTTTATTATCGAGTGTCGTTTCCGTTTGCAAATTTTTTGGAAGGATTGAGCACTGTTAAAATTAACGTATGATTTCAATTTAATGAATTTAATTTCATCAATAGCTTTCTAGTTAGATTTCGAGTTTAGCTTAAAATTATCCTTAACTAACAGAAAAGATTGTTTATAAGTGGGCTTATTATTAGTTTAATTATCATAATCAATATATATCTATTTCATGTTGAACTATGATTTTTAATCCAGTTAAAATTTTATTTAATTCATGATATTCTTAATAGTAACTACGTGTCAATTATATCAGAACTTCTTTTTGTTTAGGAATCATCTGAGGACAACAAAAAGTCGTTCAGCGCTTTGAAAGGAAAAGTTGGCCTTAAATATACAGAATTCAAATTATGCATACAAAAGACTTTAATTTTTAAGAAATTTTTTCCCGAAAATGTGGAAAGGTTCCGCATGATTGTCTATTCTAATATGGGATCTATTACACATGTGTGCATATACATATTTATCTGTCATTCATAAAGATGTATGTTCCACTTTTCAGTGCCATCTGATAAAACGGAACATCAAAGGTAGCTCTATTCTGATCGATGCAATATTACTGGTATTATTGGCAGTAAAACTGATAAGTTAACACGTGTTATCTTTCGATTGAAAAATATTCATCTTCGTATGATCAATGAAAATAAAAATCTTATTAGACAAGACAAGGTCCAATTAACAGCATATTTACTTTTGCTGGATGTATTTGCTCCAGAACAATAAATTGGTGTTTTTACTGGAGTAAATATAAATGAATAAATTAATATAACTTTTGACCTTATTTAAAGACTTTAATGCATTGAATTGTATAGTCATTTTTTGAATTAGATCACATTCATTTGGAAATTAATATTGGTCTGATCTGTGAAAAAGTTCAAAATATGTGATCGCTAAATATTTTTGACCAAACGGAAGAACCGTAATATTAATAAACAAGTTTGCAAGCTTTCAGTCAACCACTGTATGAGTTTACGTGGTAAAAGACAATTTAGAAATATTAAAGATGACATTTAGATTTACAGATTAACGCTATTTTAGGATGAAAATAAATTTTATTTAAAAAAATATTTTACTGCGGTATCTGCAAAGATCAATATTTGATATGATTTTGGAAATTGGGCTGAACCTGACTAAAATATACTCAAGCAAGTTTATTTCTTTTAAGTGTTGAAAATTGATCTTGACTTTTATTTTAACATTTCTCTGACGATTGATTGTATTTCCTTTAATTGCTCTTTAAAACTCTTCATGAATTTTTCAATTAATATATGAGAACTTAATAAGACATCTAATTTCTTGCATGAAAATTATCTGATGACTTGGGTCATTGATTGAGCTGATTATCGCACACTGACTTTGGCAGTTGAACGCAAATCGAATCAGTTTCAAAATTGGCTGAGCTGTTTAAGAAACATAGTGGTTAGCACCAACAGCTTTGTCCATGTTACTCAATTCAATGGCAAGGAATTGCATAGTTCAAATTGTTTACCATGGTATGTAATTTCGAGATATTTCAAAGGTCATCTTAAACACTTTAACTGAAATAAAGGATGCGTTCATGATAGGAGATTCAAGGAAGATTTCACAGATTTGAGTCCATTTCTGTAGTCGAATGGATCCCTTCGCGAAGGCATTCAATATCGCTTTATATGGACGTTCTTTATATCGCCTATTGGTGACGTGTTCCATAAGTTCCAACTCGATAACATTAAGAAATAGGCAAAATTCTTTGCATTCAAGTTCAAAAATATTGGCCAAATAACCACAAAAAATAATGACCATAGATGGAAATTCACTGACCATAAAATATAAAAAATGACAGAAAAAAATCATTTTTAGGTAATTTAACTGTCGTTCAAATGTTCTCGAGAAAACCTTATTGTTATAATTACTTAATAATTGGCTCACGCTCTATTTTATTCACGTAAAAAAGCTCTTTATAATTTGTTTAATGTTATCGTTAACAAATAATTAAATAATATATTAATTATAGGAACAATAAACAACTCCTCAATTTAATCCGATACGTACTAAACAAGGATGTCTGTCAAATTATTCCAATTTCATTTCAGAGGCTTCACAAAAGCCCCCTTAATTTCAACCAACATCCTGACAAACTTTGCACTGCTATCACGAATATTATGATCAGATGTGTAAAGAAAACTAATCCCCGAGGCAAAATTAAACACTATCGAGTGTTTTGGTCTAAACACCTTGAGGAACTGAAAAGAAAGCGGGACCTCTTTGCAACTCTGCCGATAAGACTGGAAGAACGGAAGACGTAAAAGCCTGGAGACGGCAATCAGCTGTCCTAAGGCAAGCCATCTTACAAGCTAAACGCACTTCCTTCGACAAGTTCATCTCAAATATCAACTATCAAAGTGATAGCCAACGCACTTTTAAATTTCTGAGAAACCTCCAAAACAACAGAGAAAGACCCACGAAAGAACCAATACGCTTAAACAGCAAATTGCCTACCACCGACACCGAAATAGCTAACAGCTTCGTGAAGTTCTACTCCCACAAGCAGAAGAAAAACCCTTTTGTCAGAAAATCTTCAAGAGATTTAAAGATACAAGTAAGACAGTTTGGTGAAATTAAGGCAGACGCAACACCAAATAATGTACTTACTGAACCATTCCGACATTGCGAACTTAATGCTGCGATAAAACAGCTCAAGTGCAAGAGTTCTCCTGGCAAAGACGGTATTCATCCGCAATTTCTAATTAGAATGGGACCAAAAGCCAAGGAAACCATGCTGGCGTTTTACAACAAAATCGGGGAGACCAGTCTCATACCTAACCAATGGAAAGTGGCCATAGTAATACCAGTACTAAAAAAGGTCAAAGCCCTAGCAACTTTGAAAACTATAGGCCTATCTCCCTCACAAGCATTCAGGCTAAACTTATGGAAAGAATGGTTAACAGGAGGCTGACCTGGTTCCTTAAGACCAGTAATATTCTTAGGAGATAACAAGCAGGTTTTAGGCCGCAAAGATCAACTAACCAACAAGTAGCCACTTTCTCCCAACACATCAAAGATGCCCTTGATGCAAGAAATATCCTTACGGCTGTTTTCGTCGATTTCAAATCAAAATATGACTTATTATGTAAAGAGAAGCTAATTCTAAAATTGACAAAGATTGGTATTAAGCATAACATGCTAAACTGGATAAAAGCATTCATTGGACAAAGATCATGTACAGTCAGATATCTTAATGCTCTATCAAAATGCGATCATGTACAGTCAGATACGGAAATGCCCTATCAAAATCTAATCTTTTATAAACAGGCCTTCTACAGGGAGCTGTCACAAGCAGCACTCTTCTCAATGTCTTCATCAATGACATAGCCGAATTGGTACAGACAGTCACGAGCATCAAGTGCTTACTTTATGTAGATGATCTTGTTCCATGGTATTCCGACCCTAAGAAAAACGCTCAGGAGAGGACAGAAAGTGCCCTTAATTGTGCACGTAAACTTCTAACAAACTGGTGCGACAACAATGGAATGGTAATCAACACCGCAAAAACTGCATTTCAAACTTTTTTGTTGGCCCATTACAGCATAAACCCACTTCTAAGGTACAAGGATACTGCCCTAGAAAAAAAACATTGAGTTCACATATGTCGGAATGTTGTTTGACACAAAGCTAACGTGGAAAAGTCACTTTGCTAAAATATCAGTACGAGTCTCCAATAGACTGAATGTCCTGAAGCGTATTGCTGGTAGCGTATGGGGCTGTGCACGCTCAACTCTCAACACCCTTCAACCTATGGGGCTGTGCACGCTCAACTCTCAACACCACTTACAAGATTGTTATTCAGCCAATAATGTTGTATGTTTAACCTAATTACTGGAGGGATAAAATCAGAACCAAGCATTACGACTTATTACTGGAGGGATAAAATCACCAAATCAAGCATTACAACTAATTACTGGAGGGATAAAATCAACACTCATCCATAATTACGACCAATTACTGGAGGGATAAAATCAACACCCATTGAGGCAATACTCCTAGTTACAGGAAGCACCACAATATGTTCCCTGCAAAGAGAAGGCCTTGATCTTGTATGAGAAGCTACCTCATCAAAGAAAAGGCCTTGATCCTGTATGAGAAGCTACTACGCATTCCCGGTTACATGAACTCCACAATATGTTCCCTTATCAAAGAAAAGGCCTTGATCCTAATCAATAGGCTCCCTTATCAAAGAGAAGGCCTTGATCCTATATCAGTGTGTTCCCTTACAGAAAAGGCCTTGATCCTGTATGAGAAGCTACTGCGCATTGAAGAAAAGACCTTGATCCTCTATGAGAAACTACTATGCATTCCCATGGACAAGTTCTTCAACAAGTATGAGAATAGATCAAGACATCTGAAAACGCAATCTGGTCTAATGCAGAAAACCATAGAACTGAAGTAAGAATTACAAATCGATGACAAACCAAAAATGTCTCTCTCTTCCCATGAACCCAGTAGCAGACACTGATGTAGTGTATTGCACCCAACTGCTTGACTTCTTAAGGAAATCAAACACCTCACCCAACTGCTTGACTTCTTAAGGAAATCAAACACCCCTCAAGAGCAAATGCGCACTCTGGCTCTTGAGACAATCGATGTCATCTATCCTTCAGATCTATGGCTCCAAGTCTACACTGATGGGTCATTCATAGAAAGCCAAGCAAACGTTGGTGCAGGTGACAATTCTGAACTCTTCTCTTTCTACGCAGCAGCGGGACATAATAGATCCGCTTTCGAAGCTATAAGGGTAGCACTTTGCCAATTATGTTGCCTGGATACGATATTTACAGTCAGCAATAGACACTATTGGAAACAGAGAGACACCC